TTTGTGAAAACAAGAGTATGTCAGCTCTTTTTTTTATTCTGTGTATACACTAAGAGTAGAAGCATCTGTTGAGCTTCTATCAAGTTCTGGTGATGTTCAGATATTACATATGATTGGACAGTTTGCTTCCAGAAATTTAACTATTCCATTTGCTTTGAAATCTGAAGTGATTTTTTAAGAATCTTACATCAATTTATTAACTCTATCCCGTTACAGTAGAAAAATAACGCTAGAAGTTATTAACATTTTCCTGGTGAAAAACAGAGATTCTTGAACTTTTTATCTTAGGCCCTGAGTAACTTTATTTGTGATTACATATATTATTAAAACATTATTGCTGTGTATGTGAATGCATACTGTGTGTGGGTGAACAGGAGGTCAGAGAACAACTTTGCAGAATTGGTTTTCTCTTTCTCTCTTTATGTAGGCTCCAGGGATTAAACTCAAGCCATCAGGCTAGTGTGGCAGGTGCTTTAATCCACTGAGCTATTTTCTTGGCCCTTTGTTTTGATTTCTTTTTTTTGTTTTTTGTTTCATTTTTATTGAGACATGGTCTTGGTCCATAGCCCAGGCTGACTTGGAGCATATGGTGGCCCTCCTACTTCAGTGCAGTACTGGGATTACATACAAGAGCCACCACTACAGTTCTTTACATCTTAAACCTCAATTTTCTGTACTATTTTTCTCCCATGCTGAGGGCCTTTCCTCTTGCTTTCTAGAAGAAAGTGTGCATCTTTTTCCTGCTATTTAATGAACTGTTTGGACAATTCCAAATTAGAAATAAAGTTAAATTTAAAAATCAAAATTTCAATACTTTTTGTCTATACAGAATGATGGAATTTTGCTGTGAAATAACCTGAATTTTATATGAGTTCTCTTTACTCACTGCCTAAGTAAATTTCATTTAATTAAAATTTTCACTTTGTTAAGTATAAGAGTGGGTTTCGATTATCCACAAGGATTGAGGGCCCAGTAGAGTTCTTTTCTAATTGTTTAGGGATTTCCTCTAGAAATATACCCAATAAAGTGATGAGGACATTTAAGCATGTACTTAAAAGTCATGGTTCAAATTTCTACAAGTTTCTTTTAAGTTAACTGACTTAAGAAGCACTTGTTGAACATGGGTACACCAGTTCAACTGCAGAATGACTGCAATCAGTACAAGAGGAACAGAATCTAGTGATATGTCTTTACAGTCCAAGGTGACCAACCTGAACACAGTGCCAACCAGATGGTCACGAAGGACAGAGCTCTGTGGAGACCCACAATAAACAGTGTAGCTGCTTCCTTGATGCTGCGGGGTGGGAGGCAGTTAAGGCTCCTCCAGGAGAGTTCATCTTGAAGTTTGCTGTGCAAGAAAAGAAGTCTGAAGAGAAATGGTATCGAAATAGAAGACATAATTTGTGTCAAAGACTCTGAAATGAAAAGAGCTCTTATCTTTTCAAAGGATCTAAGAGGTCAAGGTCATGATAGCCAATGTGGTCAGGATCAGATTGGACTGGGATTGTCTAGAGGACAGGTGCTAACAAACAACTGGAGACCAAGAAAGACAGAAGAGCACACCACAGAAAAGAAAAAGAAACAACTTTATACGTTCAGGATTGGTGAAGCCCACGGCTGAAATCTATTAAACAGATGCTGGCTTAGGTATCTTACAGAACCCCAGGGACTGTCCTTTCCCACTATTGGTCCTAGAAACCTACTTTTGAGCCTTCCTCTTCTTTCTCCCCTCTGTGTCTTCTGGGGGCAAGAAACAGCCATCTCAGAGAGCCTACTTTGGGTTTCCTTGTTTGCCAACGTCCCCCATAATTCTGCTTCAAAAATGAGTAGTAGGTAGGGGAGTTAGAGGAAAGGGCCAGAACAGTGGTCACCTAAAGACTGGAAACCTTGCTGTAAGGGTAACAAAAAGAAAGCCAATGGAGATGTTAAGCCATGCAAAAAAATGTTCTCTAAATGCTTCATATGGAGACAATGTGTTTTGAAATGAGCTCATGTCTTATTCCAATAACAATGAGAGTCTTTCACAAGTATGGGACAACCTATCCAAGTTTCTATACCTGGAAGTTTTCTGAGCAAGACTCTGGGGAAATAGGTCAAGTAGGAGAGTGTTTGGGTCCATAACCTTGGTTATGTTTCAAAGTGATTTTTACCACATTTTAACACAAATGGAAATGCTGAATGAAGTACTGATGACAGGAACAGGGGAAAGACACATGTCTGTACGTGTGCATCTACGCATGCTTCCCCATGATTTTAAAGAACAAATGTATGACAATGAGCACCAGTATAATAGTCTTTGTGTTGGGAATAGTATCTACCTTACACTAAGAAAACAGAAAATATTGGTTATGTTCTCATGGTTAGTTAGATGACAGAGGGGAAAGCAACAGTTTTGGTAGTACAGCAGACTAGAATCTAATTCTTTTCAGGTTTGGTATCAGAAGATGCCTTTGGACACCTTCACGTACTTTGTATACTGAAGGGTTTCATGAACCTTAAGGCTCTCTGCCAATAGGGTATGAGAGACTAAGATTTTGCTCTATTCTTCAATACTCTTCCACCTTCTCTGTGAGCATTTATTTATTCCTTTTGGTCTTCTTTATGCTGTCTCTACACTTTTTTTTTGAGACAGGGTCTATCTCTATAGTCCTGCTGTCCTGGAACTCACCATGTAGACCAGGATGGCGTCTTGAACTAACAGATCTGCCTGCCACTGCTTCCCTAAGCTGGAATTAAAGTCATGTGTCACCATGCCTGGCTCTGTTTCTATACTTTAAATTGGTAGATGTTCTAGTATTGTAATTTCTTAGAGGTATTTGCATATTGGTACTTACAAAAAAATTCTTGGAGATTAAAGTTTTCTCCAGCAAACAATAAAATGGTGGACGTGTGCAGGTGCTTGTGTATGCATGTGTGTGTGCACATGTGTGGAGGACAGAGTTTGATGTCTGCCAGCTTCTAAAAAGCATATATTATTATTATCATTATATTAGTGTCAGGGATACAAACTCTGGCCCTCATACTTGTTCAGCAAATGCTTTATCCACTGAGCCATCTCCCCAGGCTCCAAATCCAAAGGATTTCGACATGGACTTTGGACTATAAAGCTTTGCAACTCTTTTTCAGGCTAAATGACGATTGGGAATGAATGGATAGATGCATGCTTGCTAAATCCTTTGAAGAAGGCTGCTGATCCTGATCTAAGTAGGCCTGAGTTTAAATGTCAACTTGTCTCCGACTCACTATTTGAAGAGCATGAATCACTTATTTGACCGAATCAGCTTCATGTGTATTGTAAAGGTGGAAGTGCAATCGATAAACTCAACTCATCAAAGTAAAAATGCATATATCGGTGCCCAATTGTGTGTATATGATTTGGAAGCATTCAGAATATGTAGGCTAAATATTTGAATACATTAGTACTTGTTAAAGTCTCATGCAATGTGTGTGATGTCTATCATTAAAAACAGGGAGGAGGCTTACTATGTGTTAATTGTTGGGTTTTGGAAGCTCTGGATTTTTCCTATGAAACAGGAATACTAAGGGTAGCTTCTTAAGTTCTTAGTGTTTGGTGGAAAAGTCACTTCTGTGTGTGTATAGGTAAATGGTACTCGGCTGTTTGGTAGTAATAAAGGTTTTTGAGGTTTCAAATATCTAAAGAGGGACTCACAGTGCCTTGGTGCCACGTTCTTTTCAGCAATCAGAAGCACGGATAACAAAAATCTATATTCTAGCATTGGATAACAATAGATTTGACAGTGTACTCAGCTCTCTGATTATTACAGACTAAAACTAGGGCAGCGTTTTTAAATTACAAGTAATTTTTATGTTGCAGTGTCTCTAAGTTACTCATATTATCTTGTTATAAAGAAAATGAACATTTCTTAAGGGCCGGTATTGTATATCAGACACTCAGAAAATCACATGTATCATCATTAAAATTTACAGGAAGTCTGTAATGGGCAAAGTCTTCAGCAAAATGAAGTTCAGAGACTGAGACAGCAGAGCCATAGGCACACTTGGGTCTGTTATCTTATAAATTTTCCAAGAGATCACTTTTGGCCAAAAGACAAATGGAATAGCTGTAAGATCAGGTAGGGTCGATGGAATGAGGCAGCTGCTCTTAAACGTTTATTTAGGTTAATGTAATTTATATCTACTAGGGGTCTAAGCAAAAATTCTGCAGAATTGTTCTACAATTCTCTGATTCTTTGAGAATGATTATCAAGGCTATTGATTAAAACAGTAGGAAGAGAAGAAAAAGTGCGCATTATCAATATGTAAATTCAAAGTAGTGTTTTTTTCTGAATCTGCTGGTTTTTGTTTCTGTTGTTCATTTGTATAATTTTTAGACGGGGTCCCCTTATATAGCCCTGCCTTCCCTGGAACTCGTGTAGATAATGTGCTCGCTAGTTTTACGTCAACACGACACAAGCTAGTTACCTGAAAGGAAAGAATTTCAATTGAGAAAAAGCCTCCAAAAGATCCAGCTGTAAGATATTTTGTTAATTAGTGGTTGATGGGAAAGGGTCTAGCCTATTTTTGGTGGTACTATCCCTGAACTGGCGGTCCTAGGCTCTATAAGAAAGCAGGCTGAGCAAGTCATGTGAGCAAGCCAGTAAGCAGCACCCCTCCATGGCCACTGCATCAGCTCCTGCCTCTAGGTTCCAGCCCTGCTTGAGTTTCTGTCCTGACTTTGTTCAGTGGTGGACTATGATGTGGAAGTGTAAGCCAAATAAACCTTTTTCTCCTCAACGTGGTCACGGTTTTTCATTCCAGCAATAGAAAGATCTATCTAAGGCAGCCAGGCTGGCTTCAGATTTGTAATAATCTTCCTTTCAATTTTATCGATTTTTGAAGATAATTTTAAAGATAGAATCAATGTTTTATATTCTGTGAGACATAAATATTACCATTATTTTTATCTACTTAATAGGCATATTGTAAATGGTATTGACGATGGTTATAAAATCCTTAGGAAAGCTGACATAAACACAGAGTTTGTTTCTGACCACATCTCTTTCCATTTTGTCCATATCTCAATGACCACATCCAGCATTTACATTCTTCTCACTTCTTGTACTGCAGTGCCTCTACCAGAAGGTGAGTTATTCTAAGACAAGTACCATCCTTTTTCACTGTGGTAGCCATGGTAACCTGGACAGTTCCTGCAATATAATAATCCTCAGTAAATGTTTATTGAAAATATCAGTCAGCAGTAATAAAGAATTCATCTTTCTTATCTCATTTTCTGTTTCCAAAATGAGAAGATATGAACATTTTTATAGAGTTAGCATCAGAAGTATATGACATGCTTATTATTTACTGGAGATACATGCCGTGGATCTTAAAAGGTTGTTATGGTGAATATTTTATTTAGTATGAAATTGCATTTTTGTTAAAATCTTGAAAGTATCTAACCACTACATTTCAGGAAATAAACAGAATATTTAGCATAGTCTTGAAAATACAGATAGAGCAATAAGACAAGAGAAAGTTGAAAAGTTATGTATAAACAGAAAGAAAAAAATCAATACATTTCCAGCAAAATATTAGGGTACAAAATCTTCACACAATCATCAGTACTACTTATAATGAACTTGCTTATAAAAATTACATTCACAAAAGCTTTAAAAATGTCTTGGAAAAACTCAAGAACTGCAAGACCTCTACAATGAAAACTTTGAGACACTAAAGAAAAACTTCCCCTGATCATGGATTGACCGAATTAAGAGTGTGAAAATGGACATATTACTAAAAGCAATCTACAGAGTCAACACAATCCCAATAAATTCCAATGACTCTCTTCACAAAACACCACCACCAAAACAACAATTTTAAAGTGCATATGGACGCACAAAGGACCTCAAATAGTAAAACCAGCCCTGAGCAGAAAGAATAATGCTGGAGGTATCACAGTACTTGATCCTCAGATTACACCGAAGAGCCATAGTGAGAAAAATTATGTGGTGCTGGCAGAAAAAAAAAATACATAAGCCAATGGAACAGAATAAGGGATCTATAAGCAAACCTACACACCAACAAAACTATCAAAATTATACTCAGGAAAAAGGCTGCTGGAACCATCGATAGAAGAATGAAACTAGAAATGTATTTCTCTACTGTGCAAAAAAAAAAAATGGATCTAAGACCTAAAACTTCAAACAACTAGAGGAAAACATGGAAAACACCTGAAGCTAAAGGCATGGATAAGGGACTTCTGAAAAGGGCTCTGATGACAAAAGGTATAATCCCAAGGTTAACAAATGGGCTTATGTGAAATTTAAAAAGCTTCCCAATAGCAAAGAAAATAGCCACTAGAGTGAAGAGACCGCCTGCAGATGGGGATTTTGCTAACTACACATAAAAGGGATCACTATCTAGCACTGGTTCTCAACCTTCCTAATGCTGCAGCCCTTAATATAGTTCCCCAGGTTGTGACCCCAACCATAAAATTATTTCATTGTTGCTTCATAACTGCAAGTTTGATACTGTTGTGAATTGTAATGTAAATATTTGATATGTGACCCCTGTGAAAGGGTTGTTCACCCCCAAAAGGGGTTGTGACCCATAGGTTGAGAACCCCCAATCTAAATGATTTAAAGAAATACAAAAGGTAAACACCAAAGTACAAATCTTTAGTAAATGGGCCGAGAATAAAGGTTTTCAAAATAAGAAATATTAATATTTGAGAGAATATTCAACATTTTCAGCCATCAGGGAAATTCAAATTAAAACTGCCTTGAGATTCTATCTCACCATTAAGAATGGTTGTCATTAAGAAAACCAATCACCACAAATGCTGGTGAGGATGTGGCAGGGAAAGGAATTCTTATAAACAATAGTGGTAATGTAAGATAGGCCAGCCTCTGTGGAAGTTCCCCAAGAAGCTAAAAATAGAACTACCATGTGATAGCTCCTCCACTCGTGGGTATAGACCCTAAGAACTCTTAAGTCAATATACCACAATGATACTAGCACATCCATGCTTATGGCTGCACTATCCCCTACAGTTAAAAAATGGAACCAGCTTATATATTCATAACAGATGAAAAAATTGTTACATATATACACAATGGGTTTTTCAGCCATAAAAAATGAAATTACTGTATTAAAACTTTTTTTGGAAAAGGCAAGGAACTGGAGATCAAACATTACAGAAAATAAGACTATAAAAAAAACACTACATTTTCTATCATACACAGCATCTAGATTTAAATTGTGCATGTGTCATGAAAGTTCAAAGAGGACCATGAGAGGGGAAGAAAGGTCTTGAGGGAGGGAAGTCGGGGGAGAGGATGGAATTCAAACCACAAGGAAGGCAGAAGGGAGGACTAAGTGGGGGAGGGCATCAGTAAGAGGGAGAGGAAAGGAATGTGGAGAAAGTCACTGGGGTGGGGGTGAATAAAAATATGACATATTCGTAAAAAAGGCCATAATGGAACCCATCACAATGGAACCCATCACTCTGTATACTAACTTAAACAAAAATGACTATTTGAGTGTATATAGTAATAACTTCCATTCGTTGACACTCAAGAGTTAAGAAAAGTAGAATTCTACGCACCGGAGATGTGAACAGTTTCTCACTAGGTGGCTCTCTTTCCCGTGAGTGGGCGGCGCGTTGGTGCTGGTGGAAGATTGGGTCCATTGTGCTTCTGCACTCACCGCACGTCACAGCGCCACAGCGCATCACACTTGGCGCTTGCTTACAGCATGAGGGGGCATAGTTCACTTTCTATTTCGTTAATGACAATCTGTCCTTGAGATTTATTTCCAAGTGGGCTGTACTTTCGTTTCCTGAGAACTCAAACATGTTCCATCCTAGTTTCTAATAGGCATTGGATTCAGGGAAGGATCTGGAAAGCCTTTGTTTAGGTAGCATGAAAAACCAGAAGAAATCAGAGACCCAAACCAAAACCAAGATCCCGTTGAAATACTGATTTGAACTATACAGTGAAGACTATATTCCTGGGGGATTTTATGGCCTTACATAACTCTAAAACATTTTGGGATAGCTGCTTACATAACTTTTCAATATGAATTGAAAATAAAATCTGTAAAATGCCAATAATTACTTCACTTAATCAAAATGACTTCCTCCGTGATAGACTCAACGTCATTGGGAGTCATTGTTTTACCCCTAAACTTGACACAAAAATACATATACGCAAAATTTTTTTTCTCAAAATGGAAAATTATTTTCATAGACTTCCTCATGCTGATAAATTCAGGTACTTCTTTTTATACAATTTTTTTTACTAATTAAAAAAGTGGCAAGTTCGAAAACACTGCAGATTTTTGAGGAGGGACGATTTTGGGGATGAGTCTTCGATGATGAGGTGTGATCCCCACTGGGTGCTTCTGGAATCCTTCCGGATCACCCTTGATTCTAAATGCCTAAGAGCAGCATGTTAGCCTCAGGTCCCAGCTCTCAGCCAGCCTCTGCCGGGAGGGCTCGCAGGTGACACGGAGTAGCAACTAGAGAAGGGGTTGACCTATTAGGAAAAGTCGAACTTTCCCCACTGCCTGTCAGAGCGGCATCACGGTTGCAGTGTGCAGTTCTCCCTTAGGGACCCCCGTCGGGGTATGGGGGGGGGGGTTGCCGCCCGCCGGCCTCAGGCAGTTGTGGGGGAAACTCCTTCCAGGTCCTCGCAGCCTGGCGCTGCAATATCACCGTGGCTTTCCCGCTCCAACCCATCACCCGCCACCTTCAGACCCAGCGTTTTCTTCTCAGGCCCGGCTGTCTCCCCACCGGGCTCTAAGAGGAAACTATGGAGGTGGATTCCACCCGCGGAAGAGTGGAAATACCCTCGGCGAATGCCTTGGAAGGGGTATCCCCGCAATTTTTGCTGGGGGCGGGGGGAGGAGGGAGGAGGAAATGGACTTCACTGTCTGGCGACTATATCTCGATTCCCAGCTTTTAGAGGGCAGGGAATCCAAGCGGGGAATCCTGGGCGGTTTCCCCGGAACCCGTTCCTCTAGGGGAGGGTCACCCTGTCTACACACACCGGTTACTATGACAGTACAACCACAGCCTCCAGTTTCCATGGCAGCGGCCAGCGCAAAGCGATTGGTCTCCTTTCTATTTCTCCCTGGGCTCCGCCCTATCACCCCCCACCCACCCACCCACCACTCTCCAAGCGTGCATGGGGAGGGGCAGCTGAGAAGGAGGCCTTTGCGTCACTCTTGGGCGCGCGAGGGAAGACAAGAGTCGAGGAATTGGCGGGCGGAACTGTAGGAGGAAGGGGTGGCGTTTCCGGTGGGGAAAAGTGGAGGAGTGGAAAAAGGAAGCGAGGAGTGGGCGGGCTGAGGGGAGGAAGGCTTTGAGTGTAACTCTCGGCTGCTTCGGTCTCGATGTTCGCGGGGAGCGTGGGGTGGCCCCCTCGCACGGGGGGAGAGGCGCGGACCATTAGGAAGCCGCCGAGCGCCACCACCAACCCCCTCAGTCAGCGCGCAGGCGCCATACAACTTGCTAATCCCAAAAGGGCGCGGTATAGAGAGGCGGAAATCACCCAGAAGGACCGGCACTGCTAAAGTCTCGCGAGAGCGAATCCGACTTCCTTCCTCTGGTTCTCCCTCCTCTTCCCCCGCCCCCTTCCCTTCTCCCTCCTCTTCCCCCTCCCGAGCCGGAGCGTCCCTGTGTCCCACAGGCCGGAGCCGCAGCTAGAGCAGCTTTCCCTACTCCCTCCCCCCTCGCCTCACTCACTCCCCCCCCACCCCGCGCCGAGTGAGGAGGAGTCGGAGGAGAGGAAGATGGCGGCGGCCGCCAGCACCCGCGGGGCTGCGGGGCCGCTCCGAGGAGCCTGAGAGACCCACGAAGGCTTCGCGGAGAGACGCGGCGGCGGAGGATGAGCCTGCAGAGCGCGCAGTATCTCCGGTGAGTGCCGAAGCCCAGCCGAGGCGTTGTGGGGACAGGAGGAGTCTTGGGGGCCAGGCACAGCGGACTCCGAGGTGGTGGGGGAGTTGCAGCGTCCTCCTGTCCCCGGGCCCGGGGGCGCGGACAGCTCCGGGAGGGGGCGGGCACACACTTGGCTACCTGACCCCCCGGGCCGCGGAGCTGAGGTCCCGCGAAGCCAGGCGGTGAGCGGAGGGAGGTTGAGAAGCGTGAAAGAGAACGTGTGTGCGCGCGCGCCTGTGGTCTCAGCCTGCGGGCCAGGGCGGGGAGAGGCACCTTGGGAGCGGGCAGCGACCCGGACTGAAGGTGGGTGTGGAGGGGTCGGCTCCCCACACCAGGGAAAGCGTGGAGTGTAGGCTGGAGCGATGCGTGCCGAAAGTAGAGGCTGGAAGTCAGCGCACCTGGGGGGTTGGGAGGGCACGGACTGGAGGGCAAATTAGAGAAAGGGGAGGAACCGCAGGGAACCGGAGCTTGTTCTTTTTATCGTGGGTTGGGAGTATGAGAAATAATGCCCTCTGTGGTTAGGTGGAGGGGTAGGGGGAGCCCGAAAAGGGAAGAATGGATGGGGGAAATGAGGGAAGAGGGAGGTGCTATGAACAAGGTTATGTTCTCAGAAGAAACTGTAGTTGGAAGATACCATTCTGTGAGTCGTGTGCATCATTAAGTGCGATGTAGGGAACTTGTATGTTGGAGATAGACTGACGCATGGGTATTGGTGTGCTTGTGTGTCGGTGTCTGGGGTGAGGAATTGATTGATGCACGCTTACAGAAGTCACACATGCATGCATTGACACTACCTGACGTCGAGAACATTTTGAATGGAAAGACAGCAGCTGTTACACAGTCTGAATGGTTTCGTGGATTCTGAGTAAAAGCTTGGAGAAAGCTAGAGGGTAAAATGAAGCCTTGCTGGCACAGGAAAATAAGGTTAGTTGCGGACTTGTGAAGACTTAGAAACCTAAAAACTGGTCTTTCAGGAACAACTTTTAAAAAGGCATGTCTTATGGGAAGATGCTTTTTAAAGAGTGATTTCATACCTTGTGGAGAAGGGAGTCGAATGGGTAAATAACTGGGCGATGAACTTACTTTAACTGTTTAGAGATTAGCGAAATGAAAGATCGATGTGTGAGGGTGGACCCACATAGACTTATATTGCAAGAGAAGGTATGTTGTTAGATGATACACGAGGTGACTGTCCTGTCCTTGAAAGTAGTTATTCATTATACTGGAGAGGAGAGGAGAGTGGCACCCATGAAGCTTTGATGCATGAATTCCAGAGTATATGCATGATGCTGTAAGTTAACATTCTTTTTTCTTCTCTGCACCCTTATTATTTACTGTATTAAGGAAACTTTAAATTACGGCTATAGGTGCCGTAGTCAGAAATAGAAACTACCAGGGCAGTTCTTAATCTGAAGGAATTTGCAGCCTAATATCTAGGAGGCGAATAAGTGCACAGCACAGACTAATGTGTCATCACTACAGAGGGTGCCATGATGAGTCCCAAGGCAGAAGATGACCCGAGCAACTGGGGGAATCAGGAAAGGCTTCCTTTGTTCATTTGCTCATTTGTGTGCTTATGATTCATCAGTTGTTTGGTTGATCACCTGTATGGAAGGCATTGTACCAACTGCTAAGAATAGAAAGTAAGAACTCCACCCTCTTACAGAGCCTATGAGTTTGCTGAGCTTTAAAAGAAAAGAGCACTTAAACTCTAAGGACTGGAAGTGAGTCCACAGGAGTTAAGATATTGAGGATCATATATCTGTTGTGTGACAACATTCACATGCTCTTCATCAGCTTCGGGTCAGCTTTCTGTGCTGCTTGTCTGTGCTCATTCTTTCCCCAAGTATGTATTGGTGGCTTTCTACAGTGTGGGAGCTGAGGCTCCACTGGTGAACATGGACACATTTATCTTGATAGAAAATCAGTAAACATGAACAAATAAGCACACTAACGGGTCCTTTCAAGTGGTAGAAAGGAAAATAAAATAAGACCATGAATTTTATATAAACACAGTAGTTAAGGAAAACCTATTCTGTAACCTGATGCTAAAAGGGCTTTGAATTTTATGATCTTTATAGATAAAATGGGTAAACATTAGAAAATTTGTGATGAGGGGTTTGGGATATAGCTTCATTTGTAGAATACTCAGTTAACATGCACTACATAAAACTGGGTGTGATGTTGCCAGTCTGTAATCCTGGCATTCTTTAAGTAGAAGTAGGGCGATCAAAAGTTCAAGGTCATCCACTGTTTGGCAAGGTCAAGACCATCCTGCATTTCGTGAGCCCCTGTGTCAAAGAAAGAAATCTGAGATAACTTGTTTAGAGGCAATCTGTATGTTCATAGCTATGCTTTTGGAAAATTACTGTGTCATAAAATAGTGGATGTTTAAGGGTTAAAATAAGGTCTTGGCAGTCAGGGTGTGATGGCAGATAGATTGGGAAAATGCTGATACTTTTAACGCAAAGAAAGCTGACTTTGAGAAGCTTCTGTAGTTATGTTTCTTCTATTTTATAAATCAGCACGGAGGGAAGGATTATCTTTAGGAATGGAACCAGTGACAGCTCGGTGTGAATTTAGCTCGAGAATAGAGAAAACAGAATGAACAGAATCATTTTAAATGACTGATACTTTTCCAGCCGCAATTGACAGACAAAAGGAGGGCGGCCTGGGTCCTAGAATCCATTCCAATTTCTCAGAGCCAGTTTTAACTTTTGTGGATCTGTCCTACATAAAGAAATCAAGTCACAAGTCTGATACTTAGCAGTACACATAGGAGGAAGCTGGCTAGTAATAAAGATTTGTATTAGCTTCAGTTACCCTCTGAATTTCATTTAAAGACTGCTGAGGGTCTGGGTGGTGGTGGCACATGCTTTTTAATCCTAGCAGTCAGGGGATAGAAGCAGGTGGGTCTCTGTGAGTTCAAGGGCAGCCTGGTCTACAAAGCTAGTTCTAGGACAGCCAGGGCTGTTATACAGAGAAACCCTATGTTGAAGGGAAAAAAAGAAAAGAAAAAGACTGTGAAGGGGAGACTGGAGGGTATCTCCAAGGAAGCATTATGTTGAGTTCCTTTGAAAGTGTTTTGCCTGCATTAATATGCAGTGCCTGTGAAGCCCAGAAGAGGGTGTCAGATTCTTTGGAACTGGGGTTACAAATGGTTGTGAATAGCCGTGTAGATGCTGGGAATCTGAATTGGGACCACTGGAAGAAAAGCCAGTGCTCTTAACTGCTGAGCCATCTCTCAGCCCTCAGAACAGCTGCTTTATTGTAATTTAGGGGAAGCAGCTTCTGACCTGTACTTTAGGAAGAGTTTTGTTGCCTGCCTTTGTCAGTGGGAGAAGACCGTGACTGAACAGTTTTTAGACTGCATAGCTGCAGATTTTCCCTTGTGTAGAATGGAAATTTGTTTCCACTTAGTGGAATTTTAATTTGTTAGAGTAAGTGAGCTGGGGTGTCTAGCATTGAAATGGTGGGGAAGTGGAAATGTAGGGCATAAGGTGGCCGTTTCAAAGGGTGAGAAATAAGATGATGAAGTAAGATGTCTTGGTAAGAACAAGAAAGAGTGAACTTAGCATTAAGGGAACTGAATTCATCTCAAGTTAAAGAAAGAGCAGAGATGAAAAGAAAACCTGTGTAGAGGAAAGAGATGGTACTGTGAACAAGAAAAGACTGCACATTTCTCTCAGCAATATCCTTTCCTCCCCAGAGTAGGCTGGCCTGACTCCTGCTCAAATGGGTGTTGAAAAGACTTAATTTTTGTAAATTAAGAAATGTCCTTAAAATGAATATTCTAGGTAGGAAACATTGGGAGTATATTACCCAAATCAAAGTCGAATCGGTTGTTTTGATTTTTGGCAAAATGAAAGATTTTTAAAAAGACTTTGACACTTCTGTTGTGTAAAAGAGTGGGTTGAATATAGTTTTTCTGTTGGGGGCAGGAGGGTGAGGATAGACCATAGATGAGATTTAAGTAAGGTATAATATACATTAAAAGAATGACTTTTTTTGAAAGAATAGAAATTAATATACCAAACTTGACTTGGGTTTCTATTTCTGTGATAAAAGCCATGATGAAAAAGCAGGTTGGGGAGAAAAGGGTTTGTTTCATCTTACACTTTATAGTCCGCCATCATTCAGGGAAATCAAGGCAGGAACTTTCGAAGAAGTGATGGAGAGG